AACAAAGTTTAATTATAGCAAAATTTTAATATTTATGTAAGATGGCATATTTGTATTCAATTAATCACGGCCCACGGCGAGGCAAATGGTCCCGAGCGCATATATTTTGCTGTTCTGTTTACCGAATATTATAAATCATGAGATGAACATTGATTTAGCATATTATGTTACTACACGATGATAACATCTTGTTTTCTCCTTTTAAGCAAGCTTCACCTAAGTTTTTTTTAAAGAATTAGTTTATTACGTTCTAAAAATGTATACCTTATGAAAATCAAAAAGTTAGAAACATTTTTAATCATTTCTAATAAAATTTGTTTTCGAGGATTCACACTAAAATATTCCCCCTTTTTTCTAGTTATCACAAAGTTTATGGATATTTTGAAAAAAAGTTTACATTTATTGTAAAACACAATTTTAAGATACAAAATCTTAATTTTGTTTACATTTCCCAAAATTTTTACACCAAATTTTCCCAGTATTCTAAATATCCTGATTTCATTTTTTTATGTTTTCGTCAGATTAAACTCCAAAATTAAAATACCTGAAAAAAACGATATTTAAAATCTTAACAGATCTGAATTGCTCAACCACAACCAGGAAACTTTCTCCATTGAATCGGTTTCCCGTTTTTTTTTAATTTCCATCATTTACATGCATACTTAACTCGTCCTGATTTTATTTTCAAAAATTCGGCAGAGTAAAATCCCCTAATTAAGTTTCCACCTGAAATATGTTGGCCAATTGTTTGACATTTTTGTCAGATGAAAACTCCAAAATTACAATTACTGAAAGACAACGATATGTAATAACTTACAGGTCCGAACTCGTCCAAGTCGAGTATTTCTTACAATTTATAGATTTCAGTTTTTGGTTTTCGGTCTTCGTTCTTCGTTTTTTCCCTAAATTTCCACCATTTACGTGCATACGTAATTTGTTCTTATTTTATTTTTGAAATTTTTCTCCTAGTCACGTAGTTCTTTAAATTGATACGAAATTTTGGGATGAGGAATTGTTGTTATTTTATTTTCAAAATTTCTGCAGGAGTGGTTGGATTGTATAAATTTTTAAAAATTGTTAATTTTCGAATACAAAATTTTGGAATGTTTGGTTTTCGCTAAATTTTAACGTCAAACTTCCCCAGTATTTTAATTCGTCCAGATTTTATTTTTTTAACAGTTTGGTCAGAGTAAAACTCCAAAATTAAAATTACAAAAAAAGAAGAAGATTTCTAAACCTTAACAGATTGGACTTGACGCATCAACAAATTTTCTCCGTTAAATCAGTTTTCAATGTTTTCAAAGTTTCCACCATTTTTACTCGTTGTGAATTAATTTCAAAAATTTTGGTCAGATCAAAATTCCCAAATTATATTTCCACCTGAATTATATTGTAGGGATTTCATTCTTTTGTATTTTGGCCAGATTAAAACCCCAAAATTAAAAGTACTGAAAGAAAACGATCAGTAACATACTCACAGATTGAACGGTTCCAAAAGTTTCTTGCTTTGCTAATTTATAGGTTTTCAGTATTTCCTAAGTTTCCATCATTTGCATAAATACTTAATTTGCTCTGATTTGATTTTTTTTTAAATTTTGCCAGGGTAAAATTTCCATATTAAATTTAAAGCGGAATTATATATTTTTATGAAGATGACAGGTTGTGTACATTCTCCATTGGATTTTCTCGCTGTGAGGAAATTCACACAGGCATTGGTAACAATCTAAAATCCATAAATTCTCTAAACTTGCACACTTTTACAAAAATTTACAAATATTTCTGAAAAAAATTAGCCTACAAATTTTTGTTAGTTTATTCAGATCAAAGCCGTCTCTTAATTTTGTACAAGTTTGTAAAACAATTTTATAAATTTACTCCTCTTACAGAGTTACTAAGAACTGCGTGAATTGCCTCAATGGCATATTTGTAATGCATTAAACCGTGTAAAATTGAAATAAATTTTTCTCACAGTGTGGCACTTCACGCAGTCTTTGGTAACAATCTAAAATCCATAAATTCTGTAAACTTACAAAATTTTACGAAATTTTACAAATGTTTCTGAGGAAAATTAGTCTACAAATTTTTCTCGCAGTGAGAAAAAGGTAAAAGAAAAAGGTTCCCAGTATTTAAATTGGCATGATTTAATTTTTTTAGTCAGATTAAAACACCAAAAGTAAGATTGATAAAAAAACGATATTAAAAGTCTCAACAGATGTGAATAAATTTATAGGCAAAATTTGTCTGCAGAATTGGTTTTCAATTTTTTCCAAGTTTCCATCATTTACATAACTTGTTCTGATTTTATTTCTAAAATGTTTGCACGGAAAAAAATTCTGCAATTCTTAATTCAAAATTTTACAAAATTCTTCCGCATGAGTAAAATTTCCAAATTAAATTTCGAACTGAATTATTTTGCTCATTGTTTGTAGCTTGAAAGCACTTATTAATTATGAAGATTGTTGATTTTAACCTCCAAAATTTTAATCACTAATAAAATTTATCGTATTTCGTTACTTTCAACGTCGAATTGCAGAATTTTTTTCTGTGCAAACATTTTAGAAATAAAATCAGAACAAGTTATGTAAATGATGGAAACTTGGAAAAAATCGAAAACCAATTCAACAAAAAAAATTGCTTATAAATTGATCCACATCTGTTGAGACTTTTAATATCGTTTTTTTATCAATCTTACTTTTGGTGTTTTAATCTGACTAAAAAAAATTAAATCATGACAATTTAAATACTGGGAAAATTTGATGTTAAAATTTACAAAATACCAAAAATTGTAAAATTCTGTATATGAAAATTGCCAGCCTTTATAATTTACTTGTTTTCATGTGAGATAAACAAACAAGATGGAAATTTTTGTAAAGAAGATTCCTCCAAATTTTGGAACGAAAATTAAAATCTAAAGTATGAGAATCGTTTTTTTGCCAAAAGTGACGCAACGTTTTATAATTACTGAAAATTTTGAACCAATTTTTGACGCTAAATTTCAAGTGAGTGCGAACTTTGTTAAAAATGTGAAAACCAAATTTTGTTAAAATGAAAACATCATTTAAAATTGTATACAAATTTTGGCAAAAAAACATTTATTGGCTAAAATAAGATAAAAACTGGATGTTAATATGTCAACAAAGTTTTCACATTTCGAAATAATTTAAATCTAGTCCTAAAAGCCTGCCTTAGTAGTTTTTATTTTAATGTGGAGTTTGACCAATTTTTTCATATTTCAAATTTCACGCAGTGTTTGGTAACAATCTAAAATCCGTAAATTCTATAAACCTACGAAATTTTACAAAATTTTACAAATATTTCTGAGGAAAATTAGCCTACAAATTTTTCTCGCAGTAAGTTAATTCACGCAGTCTTTAGTAACAATCTAAAATGCGTAAACATAATTTTGGCATTTCAAGCTCGAATTTTCCCAGTACAATTTAACGTATATTTAATTCTTGATTTCAATGATTTTACATTTTGGACAGAGTAATAGTCCAAAATTAAAATTACCGAAAAAAAATGTTCACTATCTTCTAACACAGGTTTGAACAGTTCCAATTCGAATTGCTCTTCGTTGGATTGATTTTCGTTTTTGGTTGTTGGCGTTTGGTTTTTGGTTTTCGGTTTTTTGGTGGTCATTTTTGCAGAGTCATAGACTTGCTATTAATAATAGCCTATTATGTTAATGCCGGATTTCTAAGAGTGTAAAATTTGAAAAATCCAGGAAATTTCCTCAGGAGTTGAACGTCTAAAGTGAATTTTCGGATTTCATAATTCAATGAATTACAGATTATAGATACAAAAGCGATGTGTCAAAATTTGGTTAAAAATCGAAGATATTTTGCTTGCACTGAAAAATTCAGGTTCCGGGTGTTTGTCTCCTAAATTTTAATATTTTACTTTTCCCGGTTAAATATCGTACTTTAAAACCATTTGCAAATATGCAATTTAAAATTTTCTCTGGTGAATGTACATGATTTTCTGCCGAGTGATTTAAATAAATCCAAATGTGTTTCGGAAGTTTAAGAATTTCAGAGAAGTCTTCAACTTGTGAGGTTTTTTTTCAGTTTGACGTGCATCTAATTTTATCGAAATACAAAATTAGCAGTTTATGATGAAAGAACATTTTATGATAATTAAAAAAAATGATAGAAGTTTTTATAAAATAATCTTGAGAGCTTAAAAAGTCGAAAATTATAAGTTTGGATTTCTCCTTGGTTAATTTGACACAAGATTTTGTTCAACTTGTAAGTAACACAAAATTGGGATTACACGAAATCTGATATTTACAAAAAATTTGCATGGTTTGCTATTAAAACTAACTTGAATTTCTACACAGAATATTGCATCTTTAATAAATTTGGTCCTGGTGGAATTCAAAGTTTTCCGAATGTTAGAATTATATAAAAATCTAAATCTGCAAAATTTTCAAAGTTTTCAAAATTTGAATGGTTTACTATTAAATTTGAGGTGAATTTCCACATAGAATTTTTGCAACATGTGAAATTCAAGGCTTCCTGAATGCTAGAAGAATTACACGAAATCCTTAATCTGTTTGTTTACTCAACTTTGTAACATAAATTTCCACTTAGAATTTTGCAACTTTAATCAATTTAACTGTGTTCAAATTTCCAGGAAATTCTAAATTTCCAAAATTTCCAAAAATTTGACGTGAATTTACCATCTCTCTAAATTCCACCATTCTCTTCCTAGATGGAAGCTATAGTCGATCCAGAGTAAAAACGAGCTTTCCTTTTACATTCCTTCTTACTAAGGAGGCTGTCCGTAAAGGATGCCATTTTCAAATTTAGCCGCCATCTCCCCCCAACAAAACAGGGGGTAACGTGACACAAATTTTCACCCATATCAAGAAGTACGACATCCCTTGTGCCCAGCCCCGTCTGGGGATCTCTTGCGCATTGAGGGGTTTGTTTTTCTGTGGGGACTGTGCTTCTGGCGAGACGAGATTCTCACTCGTTTCCTGCACACTATTCAGTCCACGTAGAGATTCCACAGGAGAAAGTCGTGCTGCTCGGTGGAGTGAAAATTGGGGAAAGTTGAGATTATTTTGCCCACAAAGTAGGAGAAAAGAGTGAAAGAGAAACGTAGAAAAAGTCGGATTTTGACAAGTTTGTATCGAAGTTTTGAAATTGTGGAAATCCTGCTTGTTTTAAGAAATACAAAATTTTGAACGGAACTCGAAATTTGTGAAGTAAACCTAGAAAAAGTTGGATTTGGACGAGATTTTATCAAAATTTTAAACCGTCTGAATTGTGGAAGTTATTTTTGGTTTAAGAAATATCAAATTTTGAGTGGAACTGGAAACTTGTGAAGTTTTACTACTTTTGAATAACAATTGTGGCCTGAAAAGGTTTTGGAGACAATGCAACATAAGTTTCTGAATTGATTTGGAAATTGAGGAAGGAACGCGGAAGAATTCTGGAGTTTTTTTAGACTGGAAACGAGAAGAAGCTTGAGTTGTGGTGGTGAAGTTGAAAAGAAAACAAAGTTTCTGGAAATTGTTTCCGCGAAGTATGGAGGAGATATTAAAAAATTATGTAATGCAAGTGATTGCGAGAACTTTACAATAAAATTGGAAATTTTCATTGGAAATTTTAGCATTAGAGTTTCATCATTACAGAATCGCGCAAATATATCTAAATGGAATGGCATAATTTTGTATTGTTCAACTTCAAAAAAAATCTCATTACCGACGTTTAAGACGTAAAATTTTAAAAATTTTATGAAAAAAGGATAAAAATCCACTTCTACAAATTTCAAGAAGTCCACGAAGAAAAAAACAACAATTTAAAAAAAGACCAATTTCGTAACGATCACTCCATCAAATTACTGATTTTTAAAAAACTAAAAATGTGAAAAATTTAAGAATTGTGAGAATTTCCTATAAACGGACAGATGCGAATAGAAGTTTTGTTTAACAACAAAAACATAAAATATGAAAATTCCCAAAAATCCGTGAACAATTTAAAAAATAACAATCACGCAATAATCGTGAAATTTAAGGAAACTTTTGAGAATGTGAAAAATTTATGAGTTTCCATAATTTCAAGAGTATGAAAACTCCTAAGTCTGCGCTAACTGGACAGACGCATGCAAATTAATCGCAAATTTTGCAAGGACTTGAACGGAACCTTGTGAAATAAATAATTTCGGAAATTTTCAGAAATTTGTTCGTGTCGTTTAAACCGTGGTGATGGTTGTGCTTTTAGGCGACAATAATAACAGTAGTAGTTCCAGCATCATGTTGGGCTCCGGTCCGAATCAGTACATCCAGCCGGATTATTTGGGTCCACTTCCATCCACGGTAAGGTCCAGGGCAAAAAAAAATCCCTAAAATTCACGCATAACTTCGTAAAGTGGGTAAATTTTGTAAAATAATTTTACAAACTTTTACAAAATAAAGAGACGCCCTTGATTTGAGTAAATCTACAAAAAGTTGGGAGCTAATTTTTCCTCAGAAATATTTGTAAAATTTGGTAAGAGTTTGTAAGTTTACCGGAATTTAGGGATTTTACAATGTTACCAAGAGCTGCGTGATGTGAAGTTTCTAAGAAATTGTGTATGCTTGTGTCCAGCGTCGAAAATTTATTTGTAAAAAAGCTGAAACCTGACATTTCATAGAAGATTCAATGATTTCTAATTTAGCCAAATTCTGGTTTAAGGGCTAAATTCAAAATTTGTTTCGAAATACTAGTAATTAAAAAAAGCATTTAGTATTTTTTTTAATGGCCCAGTTTTTACCTAAATCAATATTTGTAAGAATTTATAGCATATTTTCATTTTATTATTAACATACGATTTTAAAGTTACAATTTGGTTTTCACATTTTTAATCAAAGTTAAACTGAAATTTGGTTTGAAAAGTTGGTTCAGAATTTGCAATAATTATAAAATTTATCTTTTCCTCACTTTTAACGAAAAGAAGTTCTCATATCTTAGATTATGTAGCAAATTTAAATTTCCATTCCAAAATTTGGGGAAAAATCTTGTTAAATTTCCATCAAGATTTTATGAAACAAAGTAAATACTGAATTTCTGTTTATATACTGAGCCTCCCTAAATATTGTTAATTTTCACACAAAATTTTACAACCTTTGATATTTCCTAAATTTTAACGTCAAATTTTCCCATTATTTAAATCATCCTGATTTCATTCGTTTTATATTTTTGTCAGATTAAAACTCCAAAATTAAAATTACTAAAAAAATTATATTCAAAATCCTAACAGATTCCATGGTGGCATGCATGCAAAAATTGTATTTTATTTTATTTTTACTTTTTGAAACCTTTGCTTACAAACCAAAAACATGCGTTTGTATGTTTCGTAAAAGTTCGTGGACCAAATTTCCTTAGAAATGTGTGTAAAACTTTGTAAACTTACAAACCTTACGAAGTTACCAAGGTTACAAACTTTTACATGAGTTCCTTCAGTACGACTATGCATACTTTATTTCGTTCCGTCGGATTTAATTTTTTTTAATTTTACGAGTGAAATTCCAAAATCAACTCATTGTTTTAAACACCTCTGTCTTGATTATAAAGATTGTTAATTTTCGCCTACGAAATCTAAAGGCTGAATAGAATTTTTGGTATTTCCTCATTTTTAGCGTCAAATTTGCACAGTATTTAATTTGTCCTGTGCTGATTTGTATTATTATTTGTAAACCTGATTAAAACTCCGAACTTAAAATTATCCAAAATTATAAACGGTATTCGCCATTTTTACAGATGTATTATGCGGTTCAGAGATAATTGACTAGTTTATAAATTTTAAGTTTCCACCATTATTTACATATTTACATACTTAATTTGTTTGTATTTTATTTTTAAAATTTTGTCAGGGTTAAATTCCCAAATTAAATTTACCACAGAATTATATACTTTTACGAATGTGATAGGTTCTGCGTATCGTCGTCGTAAAGAATAGCAGCTTTTCCCAAAAAAATCTGAAAAATTTCATAAAAATAAAACCCGAAAATTTCTTTCATATCTAATTTTCTAATTTTTTTCAAAATTTCCAGCTGGACTCGAAACAATCCCCGCTCGCCCTCTTGGCCCAAACATGTTCCCAAATCGGATCCGATACGCCGACCCCCGCGACAAAAACGCTCCTCGACAACTCGTCCTCTTCCTCCTCCGGAAAACGGAAAAGTTCTACGTGTTCCGATAATTCGGACGCGGCCTCGTCCACGTCCACGTCCCGCCCAAAATCGTCATCCTCCTCGACAACGTCGTCCCATTCTTCCGTCGCCATGGCAACCACGACGAACACAACGACGACGCCAAAACAGAATGGGAAACTTAGCCCGGAAAATAATAATTCGAAAATTCCCTCCCCGCCATCTTCCAGCGTGCCGGCATCTTTCCGCCCGTACGAAATCACGCCGAAAGACGAATCCAGAAAAAATAGCGGGGGCGGGTCAACGATAAAATCTTCCGTACCTAAGAAAACCTCCCCAAAATCCCCCGAGGGAAGTAGTGATACTACCAAATCTGTCGAAAACCACGTGACCACGGCGCATCACAGTAGTTCTTCCAGCGATAGAAGAAAACGTACCAGCGGGAGTAGTGAAAACGTGTCTTCTTCCTCGGTTAAAAAATCCCGCCAAGATTCCGGCGGCAAAGTGTCGCCAAAACAGGATAAAGAAAAGGATCAAGGCGCCTCCCCAATAATCCGATCCGGTCTCGAAGTCCTGCAAGGGAACGATTATCGCAAACAGATGACCCCATTTTCCTCCTTTTACCCGCCCCCGCCGCCCCATCATGTCGCCCAATTTGAAAATAATCATCCCGCCTTCCGCCCCCTGTTCCCCGGGGGAAGTCACCTCCTCCCCCCGCAGCACCACTTTCCCCCCACGGGGTCCCCATATATTGGATATTCCCGGGTAAAATCGGCCTCCGGAGGGGAATCTATTGTCCCCGTGTGTAAAGATCCGTACTGCGGAGGGTGTCAGTTCAGCGGAGCGGGTGGGGGCGCAGGATCTAGTTCTTCTTCGTCTTCTTCCGCCGTCGCTTTAATGGCGGCCGCGGCGGGGTTTTCATTTCCCGGGGTACCTACATCCACCGCCGGGGTAGGGTTGTCCTGCCCGATAGGCTGCGTGCAAGCCTGTGACCACCCCAAGATTCCATATTCTACGGCTGGCGGGATGCCCATGCCGGCCTCCTTTTTCCCCTCCCTCCTCCCGCCTTATCCTCCCCCGCCTTCTGTCCAAACATCGCAATCTTCCCCGCCCGGGGGATCCGCATCCCGCCCCTACGTCTGCAATTGGATCGTGGGCGAATCCTATTGTGGGAAAAGGTTCGGAAGTAGCGAGGAATTATTACAGCACTTACGCACACATCCCAGCACGGCGGGACCCTCGGTGGAAAATTCGTCCTCCTCGGCGGCACTGGCCGCCGCCATGATGCAGCAACAGCAGGCCGCGGCATATTCAAGTTTACTAGCCGGATTGGGCGGGCATCATAGAACGTACCCTACCCCGCCGTTGTCCCCGCTGGATTCGGCGGGACGGTATAATCCGTATGCGGCGGCGGCCGCGATGGCAAAGGCAATGGGGCATCATCACCCTGGAGGATTATTTCCACCGGGGGGACCCCTCGGACCTCCCCCGCCGGCTTCGTTAGCGGGACTATATTCTGCGTCCCCGTATGCGGCCCTGTATGGACAGAAGATACCGCAAGTTCATCCATAAATCCCGCCCCTAATTGCGGGGTACGATGAGAAAACGTGTCTTGTGTTATGTTAAATATTTAAGTGTGGCGTGCTAAGTCATTTTAATAATTTCTAAAAAAAAGTGTCGCGTAATTGAACTGAAAACCTTGAGATTTTTGGATAATGGCTCAATTATTATTTAAATTTGGCGCGTGTTATAAATTAATGTTCGTCATCACTAATAACTAAACGACACCTTGAAACGTCCCTTAAGAAGAAGATAAATTACACTTAATTAAGGTTCCAGTCATGTCATTAAGTAATAAATTCTGCGTCATTGTGCGTCAAAAAAAGTGACCAATGCCACAAAGATTGATCATCTTTAATTAAGTCATAAATCATGAAAATATATTTATATTTCCAAAAAAATCCTTGTCACACTATTTAGTAAATAATTACTTAATTAATTATGCTCAAAGATTTTTTTAAAATGTTATGCTTTCTTTGGGGGAGGCTCATTTTAAAAGAGCAAAAAACCAATAATGTGTCATTAATATGATAAAGTAAACTTAAAAATAAGAGTGACTGGAAATAATTCATGGGAATTTTCGTAAACTTTGTAAGGTTAAAGAAATATTTTTTAAAATTTATTTGAATTGGAAGGGGCAGAAATTTTAGAAATCTAGAGTGTCTTGATTTTCGTAAAATTAAAAAAAAATTGCACAGTTTACACACCTTTTACAAAAATAAACGTGAATCGGCCAAATGGACGAAAAGTTCTTAGGTGTTACACAATTATTTGGATCTTTGCAACCTCTTATAAAATGTGTAAATTGTTTAACATTATTTTACAAATTTACACAAAATCAGGGATTTTACAAGCTCACATCTTACAAAAATTTAAATCCTTTCATGAAGTTTTTATCAAGTTTACAAAAATACACGTTACAAAAAAATGTCTCTTTATTTTTGCAGCATACCTTAGTTATTTTTCCCAATTTTTCTACACAGTTTACAAACATCTCCGTGAATCTATTTAAATATCCATAGTCACTGATGACCCTTTATAAAATATAATAAATAACTTAACTTACCTCGAAAATAAATATTATAAATATTAAAAATTACCAAAAAAATGACGAGATTCGTTAAAAATTAATTTATAAGGATGTCACGAAGCAGATGAAGAAAAAAACTCGAATAAAAAGAATTATTTATTCATTACGGAAAAGAAAAGCGAAAAATAAATTTGTTGACGATCGTGTATCAATTTTTTTGCCTCGCATCGTAAATAAAATGTCATTTATCACTTGTCAAGGCACGTCTGAAAAATGCAACCACCAATTAAATTAGCTGTCATGAGGCGTACGTAATGTAATGTAGGTACATGTACCAAGTTATTTATTTGTTATTAATTAATTATTGCGCAATTTAATTTTTCAGCAGGGGAAAAAATTGTGAGCAGGTGCATACATCGGGTGAATTTTTGTAACGATTACGAAGGCTAAAAACGTGTCGAAAAGTGTAGAAGTGGAATTTTAATGAAAATTTATTGGGAAAAAAGTAGAGTTTTTCATAAGGTTTTTATTCGCAAATTGTCTAATTTTGGACGAATTTTAACTGAATTTTTATCCCATTTGATCAATCCTATGCTTAATACGAGCTTGTGAAGTTTACAAAGGTTACGAAGGAAAATCAGGCTAGAAATGCATTGTAAAATGGAGAAAATAAAGCCATTATTTGGAAAAAGTTAGTATTTTTGAACGGTTTTTATTCGTAAATTGTCTAATTTAGGGAGGATTTTAACCAAGTTTTGACCCATGCTACACTTAACGTCAATTTTGTCAATTTGCAAAGATTATGTAAAATCAGGCCAGAAGTGTATCGTAAACTGGGGAAACCTGTGTCTTTAATTGGAAAAATTAGCGATTTTTATATGGTTTTTACCCATAAATTGTTTAATTTAGCATGGAATTTTGCCGAATTTTGACCAATTGCTCGAAATTGATTCCACATTTTATGCATGGTCCCTTCAAAGGTTTTGTTACGCATTATGCCGAGTTTTTGTTCAAGATTGAGAATTGAAAGAATTATGAAATGTGATATGATACGAGTACCGAGTAGAGTTGAAATGATGAATTATGAGCTGTCAAGTTGGAGAGATTCCGTTACTTTATTTCTCTCCCCGTCTGTCTAATAACTTGTTAATTAATCATTCTCCTTTGACTTGGGGCACAAAATGGCATGAAGAAAAATGCAGCAAAGTGCAATATCTGAGTGAGTGAGTGAGTGAGTAGAGTGCAAAAAAAAAGCTGTGCAGAATTTTTGGCAGGTGAAGAAAAATGATTCTAAACGTAGAAATGTTCAAAATTTGGTGCATTTTGTGCACCGTGTGCATTAAAATTTTAATTTTTTGAGTTCAAATTTCAATTTTGTTCATTTTATGCACTTTTTGTATTAATATTTCATTTTGTGCATTCAGATTTCGATTTTTGCATCTTAATTTTTATTCTACATATGCATTGCATTTTAAGCGTGACATGCATTTCAATCATTCAAATTTGCAATTTTCATTTTATGCATTGCAAATTTCAAATTGCGCATTTTATGCATTTTGTGCATTCAGATTTCAATTTTTTGCATTTAAATTCCATCGTTTTCATTGTATGCATTGCATTTTAAGCGTGCCATACATTTCACTAATTCAAATTTGCAATTTTCATTTTGCGCATTGCAGATTTCAAATTTGTTCAAATTCAAATTTTCAAATCAATTCAAATTTGCGCATTTTGTGCATTAAAATTTTCATTTTGTGCATTTTTTGTTTGCATTTTACGCATCCAGACCTGAATTTTAACCACAAAACATACATTCCAAACTTCTTATTTCACACACCCACAAAACTTTATTTAATGCACCACATTATCCGTTATATTTATGATATGTTGCTTTAAGTACGTACACAATTTCCTGCTTAATTACCATCTCGTCTCAATCTCAATGACAGCAAGTTTTCTTGTTTATTTTTTCTCCACCACTTTGTCAAATTTATGTATCTTGCTTTATGAAGACTGCTCATTTCCGTTCACATTTTTGATACGAGTGATTATTACGAATGACGAGGGTTAATAACGTGATTGTGACGGCGTGATAAAAATAATTAGCAACTGCAACAAACGATTTTGTGCTATCTTTCAACGAGAGGAAGTTGTTAGCATTGTTTGTTCAGATTAAATCGTTACCATGAGTGAATGTGAGTACATTGTTGTCGATGAGCTGCTAATTGGGTTGTTTAAAAAGGAGGGAAATAATTTATGGGGAAAATTGTAGCTTTTTTTGAAGGAATGGTGGATCAAATTTTGGAAATTTTGAGCAAACAGTTTTTTGTGGGTAAAATATTTTGTAAAAATATTTGGTAAAAAATTGTGAAATTTATGAAATTACGAATAATTTTACAAGAGTACTGGCAAAGATTTTGCATAACTTTTTGTCGATGAGTTGTTAATTGTGTTGTTAAAATTTATGGGAAAAATTGTAGTTTTTTTGTTTTACGGGAAGAAATGATGGATAAGTTTGAAAATTTTGAGGAAAAAGTATGGGTGAAATTTATGAAATTACGAATAATTTAGGTAAACTGGTACGTCAAACTTGATATTTTGGTTGTATTTATATACTTTAGTAGTTAAAGGTCAGCTTGGGTTCTTATTCAATTCTTATTTTGTGAATTTGAAATTTTGGAATTTAAAAATTGGAGAGATTTTTTCAGAATCAATTAATACGTAATGGAGTATATTTCTTCATCAATGTTTAGGAATGAATATCATATTTTTTAATATGATTGATTTCACATTTTGTAAATTGTTTCACGAAATTAGAAATTAAATTTGAAACAGATTTTGGTTGATTTAATTTTTGAATTTTTTTGTTACTGAATTGCCGAATAGAAATTACAGAATTTACGGAAATTATAAAATTCACTGAAATTACAGACTTTACCGAAAGTACAAGATTTACAGAAATTACAAAATTTACAGAAATTACAAAATTTACCGAAATTACAAAACTCACCGAAATTACAGGATTTACCAAGATTACGGAGTTTACTAAAGTTAAGGAATTTACCAAATTTACCAAAATTACCCTATATACCGACAATTTACCGAATTTCCAATAAGTTTACCGTAGCATGTTTCAGTTTAACTTTTCATTTACAAGGTTTACAAATTTTTGCCGTGAATTTACCCACCAATTCCTTTGTCCTGTACACACACACACACAGTACACACATATCTAATTCCATCCATATTATCACGACAAGGCCAAACTTGCCACATTACAGGACTCGTTAAATTATGACTTGTGTCTAATAACGTAATAAAGTCTGCATCGCTGGGCTGTCAGTCAACGTCAACTGGCCAAGTAAGCGATGCGTATCGAGTTTTTATCTCCCCTGACAACTTGACAGGTCCACATCGACTCGAATTATCGTCAACTACTCCACAACAACGACCACGATGACGACGACGACCACGATGATGACGACGACTCATTGTCTTGTCGTCGTTTGTCGGGGAAGATGATGCCAAATATTAATGAATTGGACGTGATTCGGAGTATCTTGGCCTTGTAGTAAATTTAGTAAAATTGTGATTAAGTATGTATCTTGAAAATTTGAAAATTTTATTTTTGGAAATTTCTAACTGGTAAAATTGCATGTTTTTTTTAATTGTGTACCTATTTACATTGTATTTTAACGCGTTAAACTAAATATTAATGAATTGGACGTGATTCAGGGCTTTTTGACCTTGTAATAAATTAAATTTGGTAAAATTTTATGATTGCGTATTTTGAAAAGTTTGAAATTGAAAAACAAATTATTTTAGAAATTTAAACCTCAAACGTTTGTTTTACACTTGTGTTCTCCCAACCTATATAGACATATTTGGACTAAATAAAATATTTCAAAATTATTAAGATTGGCGTGCAAATGAAGATATTTTACGAAACTTTATAGAAATCTGTGCCCGTATTTTTTCGACGAATTTTTGTAATTTATGAATTGTGAGAAATTATAAAAATGGATCAAATTGATATGTGCGTCTTATTCAAAATGTGTATTTTTAATTAAAACAATTGATATTTAATAAATTTTAAAATAAATCTCTAATAAAGGGTAATTTGGGGTTACAATGCTGGACGTGAACTCTGTAGACTTACATAAATTATACATTATAATCAATTTTCGGGGTTCAAAATTTTACAAAATTTGCACAGTTTACACAAATTTTCGTACATGTATCTAACATAAAACCGCAATCCTATTACTGATAAAAGATACTGCATTAAAAGCTTGACGACCACAGAACTTGATTAGCAGCCAATTAAACCACAAAATTTCGCGTAACTTTATAAAATAAAAATGTGGAATTAATTCTTTGGCGATTAACAACATTTAAAAAAATTCTTGACAGTCGGATTTAAATCGCAGATTTTTACGAGGTTCGTCATAAACGGAGAGGATTATGAAGCCGCGAGCAAAATGTTTTTGATACAAGGTTGATTTTTTGATACATTATGTAAGAAAGTGGTCGTAAAAGTGGTGGTGGTGTGATTAAAGAGAGAGATTTGGAATTATGTGTGATTCTGATAATATGTGTCCCATGGATTTTATGACAGGCCCGGTTTTCTTGGTAAGGTGAGGAGTGTGCAGGAAGGATGGGTATTACCGGTGGTAAAAGACCAGATTGGTAAACTTGGCAGGATTGTTTGGATTGGCAAAGTGGGAGATGAAGGTCTTAAAGCTTGTTGGAGTTGTGGTAATAGAGGAGGATTGTGTGGATTTATAAATTTGCTAGAAGTTTGGTAACACATGATTATGCAATTGGTCAACTTGTTAGAATTTTGGTAAAAGAAGATTACCGAATTGGTTTATTCATTAGAATTTTGGCAGTAGCGAATTTTCTAACTGCTCAAATTGATCAGACTTCTGATAATAGAAGGTTTCAAATTGGTAACTTGCTTAAAATTTCAGCAACAATTTTTTTACCGAATTGGTAAATTGATGAAAGCATCAAAATTATACTGCCAAACTATGCTACCCTATTACCAAACAAAATTTGAATCTCGTCGTAAACAAATTTTACCAATGTTTCCTACCAAAATTTCTACCAGACTATTGTACCAAATTTTACCAAATTTACAACCCTACATAACTCACAGCCGTTCCGGTAG